GCAACACATTGCTGATGATCAGATGGACCGTTGGGCCAACATCTGGCACGCTACGACGACGTCGCGGCCCCCGACGCTTGCGCAAGTGGATGGAGCTGGGCAGGGTCAGGACGATTTTCAGCTGCAGCACATCGAGGACTTCGACGACACGGCCGACATGCGGGAGGCTTTGCGGAGCCTCCCAAAAGCTGCCCTTCCTGTCCCCAAGATCGCCGAGGTGCGGCGGGCCGCCAAGCAGTTCAAATGGCACACGGGCCAGGGTGCGGACAAGCTGGCCCCAAGGTCCTTGAGCCTCCTCAGCGAACCCACCCTCGCCCTGCTCGTCTACATCATGTGGCTGGCTGAGCGCTGGGAGCGCTGGCCGACCCAGCTCATGGCCGTCCACATTGTGCTGCTGGCCAAGCCCAAGGGAGGCTGGAGACCCATTGCGCTGCTGCAGGCGGTGTATCGGGCATGGACGCAAGTACGTAGCGTCCAACTTCGGCAGCGGCTTCATGAGCATGATCGGCCCGACTTTGCCTTGGCGGTCGGCAAGACGACTCAAGATGTTGCCGCTCGTGCCCTTCTTCGCGCTGAAGCGGCTTTGGCCTCCGACAAAGGCGTCATCACGGCCATAGTGGATATCGAGAAGTGCTTCGATCGCATATGCTGGCGTCGGCTCATTCAAGCAGCCAAGAAGCACGCCTTCCCTCGCCAGCTACTATCATGTGCGTGGCCATGTACCGAGCGCCTCGGAGGCTGGTGCGGCTGCAGGCCACCTCTTACTCGGTCGTGGTCGATCAAGGCGTGCTGCCTGGATGTAAGTACGCCATGGCCCTAGTCCAGCTCCTCATGCTGCCTGCCATGGACGACTTCGTGGCCATGGTGCACCCCCTCCAAGTCAACGGCGACGCAGGTTTCTCGTCGTCGCTGGATATTTTCGCCGACGACCTCACCCTGCAGATCGAGGCGCAGCTAAAGCTTCTCCAGCAGGTGCCGGTTGACGTGATCAAGCTGCTCTGTGACTCCTTGACGGACCTGGGCCTCCCTACTGCGAAGTCTAAGGCCTTGCTTGCAGGTTCCGACGAGCAGATGCCGACCTCGGTGGCAGGGCGACTGCAGAAGCACGGCTTCCGTCAACAACCTTGGCTCGAAGTGCTGGGCCTGAAGTTGGCGCAGGCAAACCTTGCCACGGGCATGTGCTGAGGAGGCGCATGCGCAACGCGGGCAAGAGGGCTCGAGACTTGAAGCGCTTGCGGGCGCTCGGGGCCAAGTTCAAGAAGGTCGCTCGGGCAGCAGTCGGCCCCGCCGTCACCTACGGATTGGAAATCTTAGGCGCTGCCCCGCATGTACTGCGCAGGATGACTGCAATGGTGAAGCATGGTTGGGATGCGATACCGAGTGGTGGCTCACATTGGACTGCAGCTCGGCTGGACCGCTCCCCATCGCAGCACCCAGGGTGCGTCGTTGTGGTCGGCCCGATCTACAACTGGGCGCGCATGATGCAGTCTGTCGAATGCTCTATGGACGACATGCAGGTCGCCTGGAGGACGCAGTACTTTCAGATTGCGTCAGCACCCGCCCCCACGAACTGGAAGCTCGTCAAAGGACCTGCTGGAGCCTTCTCGCGGTCGGTGCTGCACCTTGGCTGGAAGTGCTCCTCGTGCTACAGCGTTCAGACTCGTACTGGGGATGTGCTTGACCTACGGGCTACCGCTCCCTCCGTCGTCTGGTGGCCCGCTCTGCTGGGCTACGAGGTGGTTGGTTGGGAGCAGTGGGCACAGCGGCCAGGCGCCATGCCTGAGATACCTGGGCCGCTTCACAAACATCATGCAGGCACCTGGCTAGCACCTATACGTGGGTTATTGCAGGCTGGGGCGAAGGCCAAGAGATGGGTCCTGGATCCCTTGACGAGAGCTGCCCTGCGCACGGCGGTGTTGGGTGGTCATTTCTCGCAGCAGAGACTATACCAGTACGCCTACGCCACGAACCCACATTGCCTTCGCTGCTGGGGCACCCTGGGCACTCTTCAGCATCGCTACTGGTGCTGTCCTACATTGGACGACATGCGAGAGCGAGCCGTGGATGGAGGTACGCTGGACGCTGCCCTGGCCACGGTCCCAGGGGATTTGCTCTACTCCAGGGGCCTAGTCCCCAACTCTTTCTTGCCTGCGCTGCCCCCGAGGTGCGACACTGGCGCATGGCACTACGATCGCGGAGCGCGTGCTGGGCCCCTTGTCGTCACGGGGTGCATTTTCACGGACGGCTCATGCAAGAAGCTATTGCCTTGGGATATTGCAGCACGGGCTGGTTGGGGTTTCGTGGTCGTGGGAGATGCTACCTACTCGGGAGCTGTGTTTGGTGCTTTGCTTGGCCCCCGCCAGACTTCGGCACGTGCCGAACTGCATGCTGTGCTGCAGGTTCTCACGATTGGAATCGCCCCGATCCACATCCACACGGACTACTTACCCTTGCTCGACGGCTTGGCCCGTGGACGGCGATGGTGCTGCAGTCCTCGGCGAGATAACGTGGACCTATGGAAGCAAATCTGGCATCACATTGATGACCACGGAGGCCTCCATGCGCCTGACACCTGTACCCTGCCCCCTGTCCGCGTCACCTACGTCAAGGGCCACTCGAAGGAGGACACCTGGGAGGGGCGGTGCAACGACCTGGCGGATCAAGCAGCCAAGCGGGGACGTCGCCTTCACGACCTTCCTCGAGATGTAGTGGACAGACACACGCAGGCCCTGGCAAGAGCGAGGCAAGTCGCCTCCTGGATCGCCAACGTCCCCGTCCGTGGTCGCCGTCGACGGCACCGTGCCGCCCGACCGCGTGGAGATCCCGAGGCGGCGACCCCTAGCGCTACGACAGCGCTGGGCCCAGGAGCATGATGCGGCTGGGGCGAAGCGAGCAACGGCCGAGGACGGCCAGCGGACGGGGGCGCCGCCGCCGCCTACGGTGGTGGAGTTCCCTCACCTCGTGCGGAGGCGTGGTCAAAAGTGGGCCTGTGACCGCTGCCCCGCCTATGCCTTGTCCGCCAAAGGTGCGAGGGCCCTGAGGCTCCGCACGTGTAGAGTTGCCGAGGTTGCGGCCCTTTGGGCCTCGAGCTCAACGTCGGGTGGCGCCGCGGGTGACGGTTTTGTCGGGCCGCCTGGAGTCTCGACCCCGTCCCTTGGTGGCCCTGTGGACCCTTCGGGCGCCGACGGCGCCCGCCTGGGCCCTAAGGGCCTGCTGGAAGTGGACGACGATGAGCTCCAGCCTTCGGCGGTAGAGGGCCCTGAGCGGCTCCTGGCGTTTAAACGGGTGAGGTTTCAAACGGAGGAGGAGCGTCGGGATCTCGACCTCGCTGACGCGTGTGCGGGGTGGTCCACTAAGGCCCCGTGTCTCCAGGCCCAGGACGAAGCCCCCCGTGCCCAGGTCGGTCCTGACCCCCCCCCCCCCCCCCCGCCTTCCCCACGTCCCACCAGGGGCGAGGGGACTAGTAGGGGGAGCGGCTCTGATGAGACCCCTGGGGGCCCGCGCCCGAAGGCGCCTCGGTTGGCTGTGCGCCCCCCCCCCCCCCCCCCCCCCGCCCCTGCTGGTGAGCAGGGTTCCCTGGGCGGCTCGGGGGGGCTCCGCCCCCCAAGAGAGCTAGGGCCTCTGGGGCCCGCGGGTGGGGGCGTCCTGGGTTGCCCGCGATGCCGCCCCCCCCCCCCCCGACCGTCCGCTCTCCGCTCAGGGTCCTGTTGATTCTCGTAGCGCCCGTGGGCACGTCATCCTCCTTGCTGGAGGCACCCTTGCATTCTGCCGTAGCTGTGGTGCCCGTTGCCAGCCCTCGGCTCCTCGGTCTCGCCTGTGGGGTGAGTGCCAAGGGCTTGCATCCAGTAAGGACCCTACTTATATCAAAGCCCTCGAGATGGGGAAAGATCCTATCTCGGGGGAGTGGAGGGTCGAGCCTCGCCCGCTCCTGGTCTCGGACGAAGCCTGCTTCTGGCTTCGCATTCGGTAATTCGTCTGACGTTTTACTTGCCAGTCGGCCTCCGTCGTCTTCTGGTGTTTGTTTCATCGACGAGTTGCGCGTGCTCGACTTTTCCTTTCTGTCTCGGCCTTTCTGTTTCCCCGCTCGGCGCGCTCGAACTCGATTTGGTGGTGCCTCCTCCTCCTCCTCCTCCTCCTCCTCCTCCTCCTTCTCCTCCTCCTCCTCCTCCTCCTCCTCTTCCTCCTCCTCCTCTTCCTCCTCCTCCTCCTCCTCCTCCTCCTGCTCCCTGCTCCTGCTCCTCCTCCTCTTCCTCCTCCTGTTCCTCCTCCTTCCCTCCTCCTCCTCCTCCTCCCTCCTCCGCCTCCTCCTCCTCCTCCTCCTCCTCCTCCTCCTCCTCCTCCTCCTCCTCCTCCTCCTCCTCCTCCTCCTCCTCCTCCCTCTCCTCATCCCCCTCCCCGCCCCCTCCTCCTCATCCTCCTCCTCCTCCTCCTCCTCCTCCTCCTCCTCCTCATCCTCCTCCTGCCATCCTCCTCCTCCTCCTCCTCCGCCTCCTCCTCCTCCTCCTAATTCCCCTCCTCTTGCCCTTCTCCTCCCCCTCCTCCTCCTCCTTCGCCTCCTCCTCCTCATCCTCCTCCTCCTCATCATCCTCCTCCTCCTCTTCCTCCTCCTCCTCCTCCTCCTCCTCCTCCTCCTTCTCCTCCTCCTCCTCCTCCTCCTCCTCCTCTTTCCTCCTCCTCCCTCCTCCTCCTCCTGCTCCTCCTGCTCCTCCTCCCTCCTCCCTCCTCCTCCTCCTCCTCCTCCTCCTCCTCCTCCTCCTCCTCCTCCTCCTCCTCCTCCTCCCCCTGGCATTTCTGGCATTTCGGCCAAGGTGAGTCGAACTCGCAGGTCGCATCGAATTGGGTCTGCACCAAATTCAATCGCGTCGACTTGGTCGAAGCGATAGCAGAGATGTACAATCATCTCGGCGGCGGACTGCCGCTGCGGTGCAAACCGGGGCCGAGCCTCTTTCTTTGACCACCCCGTCCACCGTACCACCACTTCCCGACCACCCATCATCTTATTAGGCTGGCTGGCCGGCAAAGTCGCGACCATAATGGTCCCATTGCTGCTCTTCACTGTAACAATCGAGCGGCACGTAAAACCTGGCAAGATCATCTTCTACCTCGAACGGCGTGGAAGGCAAGGCGGGGTCTGTCATCGCCTTCCCTTCACAGAAATCATACACATGTTTAGCCAGAAAACCGCACAGTTCGTCAGGATATTGCTTAGCGGGGGTTGTGTTAAAGCCCCCCTTCCCGTCCCGACCGAGCAGCACTTTGTGGCTGCCATAAGCATGTGAGCACTTTCCGCCGCGAGGCATTGTCTGTATCGCCTCGCTGATGGATGGCAAGTTTATCGTCATAAAGCACGTAGGCTTTCGCGATGGAGCACCAAATTCACACTGATCTATCCAATTCAGCTGCACTACTACATCTGGATGCAACAGCTGGATAATGTGAGACGTTTCTGGCAAGGACCACGAGGTGGGGAGCATGGGGTCTTTCGGCGGGGCAGGGTGCTCTACAATTCCTGCTGCGGCTGTTGCAGCAGCGACATATGCGAACAGCAGCGTTGTTCTATATAAATCATTTGCTGCCCCAACCTGCTCCCACTCTCGGTTGGTCATTTGTGGGATCCCCCATAAAGACTGGACCGATCGTATTACTCTGGGCCCCGAGGCTCCCTCGAGCTCGTTGGCCCTCGCTGAGCTCCACGATTCGCAAGGGGGCCCAGCAATAAACGCAAGCGCACGGCCTGCGAAGAATAAATCTATGAGCGTCTGGACAGCTGCTGAATCTCTGAGATCCCCCGACACGTGGTGAACGACGTCAACCGACAAAACCCAAACTGCAGCTCCAGATCCGCTCTGGTATTTCTCGAGGTGCGATTGAAAGTCACCTGCTCTACGCTGACCGCTGAACAGGTGGAGCACATACCGCACTCCATCTAGGGGCACTGGCTTTGGTACTGCAGACGTTCCGTAAAACTGGCAAGCTTCTGCCTCTGTGGGCATTGGTGGGGGTTCAGGGAACCTAAGCTGATCAACCAGGTCTTGGGGCGGGGGAGGCCAGGCCGGGCCCTGAATTGGGTAGACTGGCGTCTCGGCTTTAGCATAGTAGAGCCCGCGGGCCCTAAGAGCCCTGGCCTGAGCGGCCTCCACCTGCTTCTCGTGTTCCCTCTCTTCAGCGCTTAGGGGAGCTGTCATGTGCACCCAAGTCGCTAAACACCTTCTGTTCCCCCTTCTCAAATGCTTCAAGAGTCGCGTGCGCGTGGAAAATCCTTTCATACAAGCATGGCAATCGCTTCCTGCTGCATGCATCGATGCATGGTCTGTTTCCTCATGATCTCGCACCCTATGCAGCCTCCAACTTCCAACCGTTGTGAATACAGCACCACACATGCTGCACGGGTATGCTAATACACGAGGGGGGGGTACGACCGTGGGGGGGGGGCTAATGCCACTCGCTTGGCAGACGTCGTAAATCTTCTGGCGCCAAAGCGTCAGCTTCAACTGGTCTTTGCTCCAATGGCCGTACGCGGCCGTGGCACGGTTGATGACAGCCTTCCAAGAGGCCGGTGCTTCACGGGCAACCTCAAACCACTTCCAGTGGGGGGTGGGGTTCAGATGGCTCTCATGCTCTTGATGCTCGTCGAGCCAATCAAAATCTCCCCGCAACAATCCGCACCACCCTTCCCCTTCTTCCCACAAGTACTGTAACAGCAGCCTTAGCTGTGGCGGACCTGTGCGAAGCACTCTCCCAAAGTATCGCAAACGTAGGACTCTGAGAACGACCGCAGGGTCAAACAAAGCAGCCTCGAGCATGACGTCTTCGCTTCGCATGCGGGCTCCTTCATGCTGGGCTCTCCAGCTGTCTTCGCCTAAGGCGTGTCGGTAAGGTTTCAAAAACTCCGTTTTTAGTTTTTCGGCGTCCTTGTTGCTAAGAGGGCCCCAGATAGCCCCGTGGAAAAGCAGCTTCGTCGAGCAAAGGGGGTAACAGTATCGGAGCTTGGTGCTTTTGGTAACGCCCCTCATCTTGAACACGGATCGTTTTAGTGGCCCAATACCGCTGTTCTGCTCCACGGCTCGTGCCTGAAGCTCCGGTCCCATGACTCCATCAACATGCAAGACGCTCCCCAGATGCTCCTCCTCCTCCTCCCCCTCCTCCTCCTGCTCCTCCTCCTGCTCCTCCTCCTCCTCCTCCTTCTCCTCCTCCTCCTCCTCTTCTTCCTCTTCTTCCTCCTCCTGCTCCTCCTCCTCCTTCTCCTCGTCCTCCTCCTGCTCTTCCTCCCCCTCCCCCTCTGCCCCCTCCTGCTGCTCCCGGGGAAGGGGAGAAGAGGTACGGGAGAAGAGAGGGAGGAGGAAGACGGAGGAGATAGAACCGCATAGCGGACGGGAAGGGACGGAGAGAGCGAGACTGATAGAGGAAGAGGAGAAAGGGAGAGAGGGGTGGCGGGAAAGAGAGAGAGAGAGAGAAAGAGAGAGTGAGAAGCAGAGAGAGAGAGAGAGGGAGAGAAAGAAAGAAGGAGAGAGAGAGAGAGACAGAGATAACAACGAAAAACGAGAGAGTGGGAAAGCAGAAAGAGACAGAGGAGAGGGAAAAGGAGAGACAGGGGAAGAGAGAGAGAGAGGGAGCGAGAGCGTGAGAGAGAGAGAGAAAGAGAACGAAGGAGGGAAGGAAAAACCGTACACACAGCACGACAACAGCCACACTGAGGGTGAATGTGTACGTACACACGAGTATACACGTATGTAGAATTATGTGCGTGAGTAGTTCTTTAGACAATAATCGGCAAATGCGCATGTTTATACTTAGAAAGAGACATGGGGAAGAGAAAAATAAAGAGGAAAAACAAACATTGGTGGGAGAGTTTACCACATAATCCGCCCCCGTGCCTCTGGCACGAAGTGGAGTGCCCCAAGGCTCATGCAGCACTGAGACGGCTGTGCTGCTGCTCCTGCTGCAGCAAGAACTGTAAGTCTGCACAGGCCCAGACCAATCGCTTCCCGGTCTTTCCAGGGGTCCGCCAGAATCGCTCGCGTCGGCCTAGCCCGCCCAGGAGGGCCCCGAAACGAGCCCAGGCAGCTTCAAGAGACCCGCGAAATTGTCAAAGAGGGCCCAAGTCGCCCCAAGATCACTCCAAGACGCCCAGGATGGCCTCAACATGGCTCAAGAAGCCTCCAAGACGCCACAAGAAGCCTCCAAGAGGCCCCCAAAGTGGGACCCAAAACGCAGGCCAAGGTCACTGATTGTCCTAAGGTTTTGAAGGATTTCGGCGTTCTCGCCTGTTGGCTTTCCGACGCTCCAAGACGGCCAAAGAAGCACCCCCAAGACGGCCGAAGAGCTCCCCAAGAAGGCCCAAGAGGCGCCCAAGACGGCGACAAAAGGGGCCCAAGAGAAGGAGCACGAACCGAAAATCCAAGCTTTCTCCTCCAAAAGGCCCCAAACAAAACCCCTAGATGCCCACAAGAGGCCCAGGAGAGGCCCCAAGAGACCCCCAAGAGGCCCAAAAGAGCCCCCGAGAGGCCCCAAAACCCCCACCAAGAAGAACTCCCCTGGGGTTTCGGTCCATGCCGCCGGCCACCCGGAAGGCCCCGCCGCTGCGCAACCAAAGTCTCCAAGACGGCCTCGATGGCCTCAAAGACGGCCAAGATGACCCAAGATGGCCTCCAAGTTCGCCAAAGATGATCCAAGATGGCCTCCAAGACGGCCCAAAAAGGCCCCAGATCCGCCCAAGAAGCCACCCAGATGGCCCAAAATGGCCCCAAGAGGCTCCCAAGAGGCCTCCAAGACAGCCCAAGTGGCCTCCAAGAGGTCCTCCAGGAGGCCCCGAAGAGGCCAAAGTTATTGATGTCCCTGAGATTTTCCATGGAATTTGGCGTCTGCTTCTTGTCGGCCTGCCGACGGCCCAAGACGGCCCTGGAGGCCCCCAAGATCGTCCCAAGATGTCCCCAAAGGCCTCCAAGATGACCCCATGACGGCCCAAGAAGCCTCCAAGACGGCCCCGAGAGGACCCTAAGACGGCCCAAGAAACCCCCAAGACGCCCAAGACGGCCTCCAAGATGGCCCTGAAGCGCCCCAAGAGGGCCCCAAGTCGGTTCAGAGAGGCATCCAAGACGGCTCCCGACCGCGTCAGACGGGCCATGAACGCCGTAAGACAGTCAAAGAGCCTCCCAAAGAAGCCCCAAAAGGCCCCCAAGAGGCCCCAGGAGGCCCTCAAGCGACCTCCAAAAGGCTCCCAGAAAGCTCCCAGGAGGCCCCAAGAATGGCCCCAGACGCTCCCAAGAGGCTTCCTCCTTCTTCTCCTCCTCCTCCCCTTTTTCTCCTGTGTCTTCCCTCTCCTGCTCCTCCTCTTCCTCCCCCACGTGTTCCCCGAAGGTTTTCCACAACGACTGGGGGAAGCATGGTCCAATAGTTTGGCCAAACTTTGCCCAAACGTTTGGCCACATAGGCGTATCCTGAAAGGCAGGGGGCGGCGGTGATTCACCGTACGCGACTTCGATCAGAAGCAATGACAGAGACCACTATAAGACACGGTTATCGAATATAGTAAGAGAGGAGTGACGAAAACTGTGTAAATACAGAGATCGGGAGTTATGGAAAGCGATAGAGAGAAGGGGATGGATATACGAGACGATATAGAGAGGGACGAGGAATGAGACAAGGGAAGAGACAAGAAGAGGATAGAAGAGGGTGAGACATTATAATACAAAACACATATAAGGAAGGGATGGGAGGACAGGAAGATAATTCAATAACAGATCGGAAAAGGGGAGATAAGAGGAGAGAAAGGAGATGAGACGGGGAGAAAAATAGAGAGATAATGGGAGAGAGAGAGAGAGAGAGACAGAAAGGCAGGCAGGAAGGCAGGCAGGCAGGCAGGCAGGCAGGCAGACAGACAGACAGACACAGACAGATAGACAGACAGACAGACTGACAAACAGACAGACAGACAGACAGACAGACAGACAGACAGACAGACAGACAGGCAGGCAGGCAGGCAGGCAGACAGACAGGCACACACACAGACAGACAGACAGGCGCAAAGATAGACAGACGACAGATCGAGAGACAGACAGGCAGACAAACATACAGACAGACAGAGGGACAGACAAACAGACAGACAGGCAGACAGGCAGACAGACAGGCAGACAAACAGACTGACAGGCAGACACACAGACAGAACAGACAGACAGACAGACAGACAGACAGACAGACAGACAGACAGACAGACAGACAGACAGACAGACAGACAGACACAGACAGAGACAGAGACAGAGACAGAGACAGAGACATAAATAAAGAGATGTGGGATAAAAAACGAGCACCCACGTTGTTGCCTGCCTCCCGTTGCGCGGCACCAGGAACAAATAGACTGGGGCAGGAGCAGGGAAGGGGGGCTCAGGTTGTCGTCAGATCTGGGCATCCTAGAGGGCCACTGGCACCACAGCTGGACTCGTTTCGAATTCCTGGCCGGAGCGCACCTCATGACACGTCCAGGGGGGAGATCCTGAGAGAGGCGAGAAGGGGAGAAGAGGGGAGGCGGGGGCCGACGACCCCATCGCCCGCTTACACGCACAACGAAATCACGAACCTGGCATTCCCTGTCTCATCTCGACTCCACGGGAAGTCCCAGCAGTTCGCCCCGCTGACGCAACAGGGGACAATCCAGGCCCCTCCTCAATGAGATGAGCACCTAACACCTCTCTAGGGCGAACGTTCGACAGAGATCCTACCTATGCTCTGCCAGACTGCTCGATTCCTTGACTCTCCATGCCCTGCCAGCGCTGTCTCTCCTGGAGCGCACCGTCGCTGGTTGCGCGATGATCTTGTAGTCGTCCCAGCATTCCTGCAGGGCGCCGCAGGCCCCCCCTCTGCCGAGAACCGCCGGGATACGGCTCGGAAGCACGCGGGCCGCTCGACCAGCCCTGCACCCGGGCGCCCGCCCTGTCTGCGCGCCTTGCCCGCTGCTGCCGAGTGCTAGGAGTGTAGCTCTCAATCTCGCCCCACACCTCCTCGGGCCCCTCACATCTGCAGGCTGCTCCAAGAAGGTACCTCTGATGGTCTCCAAAAGTCTTCGGGAGTCTCTGGAGATCCCTGGAAGCTCGGGCCAAAAAACTCACGAGAACCTCAGCCGAGCAGGAGAGGGAGGCAGGGAGGAGGAGGAGGAGGAGGAGGAGGAGAAGGAGGAGGAGGAGGAGGAGGAGGAAGAGGGGGGGGAAGAGGAGGAGGAGGAGGACGAGGAGGAGGACGAGGAGGAGGAGGAGGGAAGAGGGGAAAGTCAAGATTTCAGGAAGGTGAGATCTGGATTTAACCCTCCGTTGGGCGAGCGAGCGTCAAGACAGTCACCCTGAGGACGGTTACCTCCGGATTGAACCTTTCTCGTGGACGCCGAGCGTCTAAGGGATTTACACTGCGGAGGGTTAGCTCCAGATGAAGCCCTTCTCGTGGACGCCCCCCTGTCTTCGCGGACTACTCGCCGCCTGGCAGGGATAAGATACATCTAGATTTTACCCATCTCATTTCGACACTTCCTAGAGTGTCGAGGCGGAGAAGGCGGAGAGCGAAGAGCACAAAAAAGAGAGAGCAAGAGAAAGATAGAAAGAGAGAGAGAGAGAGAAAGAAAGAAAGAAAGAAAACGATGTTCAATCAGTCGGGAGCACGAGGGGAATCTCTTGCGGACATCCGGAATCCCGTTCGGAGCCTATCAAGGCCCCTTGGCGGCCTCTCCAGTCATCTTAGAAAGCGCCCAAATCCACAATGCGAATACAAATCTATCAAATTCAGAATCGGGGTCCATTTTGACTTCTCGGTGGTAAGTGCGTAAGCAGGGTTCATCCATTGTTTACCCTCCGACAGAATATCCCGTTAAAGTGTACAATGTGGGTTAAACCCCTCTTGGAGGGGAGTGACAACTGCATCTGTGTGGTTGCTTCAATTAGTCTGGGGAGCCCCGAACAGAACGCCTGCAGAGCTAGGAGAAGGAGACGACGAGACCAGAAAGCCTGCAGTGTGTGCACAGACCTAGCTAGCTCTAGATCCGAGCTAGAAAAACAAGCGACCTGAGCCAGATAGCCTGCGGGTCAAGAAGAACACGCACCCTGAACCAGCAAGCCTGCAGAATTAGGAAAAAACATCCCTTGAACCAGATAGGCCAGCAGGGCTGGAAAAAAACAAGACTCCTGAACCAGAACCCCTGCAAGCTAGAACATAAGGAGCTCATAACCAGAAATCCTTCACATTTAGACAAAGGGCCATACATAACCTGAGAGCCACCAATCCAACAAAGCAACCAGAAAGCCTGCACATTTAGACAAAGGGCCATACATAACCTGAGAGCCACCAACCCAACACAAAGCATCCTTCGGATCAAGAAACTCTGAAATGCGAGAAAACGGTGGCTCAATAACCAAGAATGGCTCAATAATCAGGAAGCTGGGCGAGAGAAGGATGGCAGAACTAAACGACAAGACCCAAACATCACAGCCCCGAACGGCCTGACCAAAAGGTCCTCCGAATGT